CAGTGGAGCCCCATTAATAACGTCACAAAAAGCTATGAAAATTGAGCTTTATTAACTGGGTGGGCATAGTAATGGGGTAGAGGCAGATTTCACTGAGTGATGTCTTAACATATGTATCAAAATTGCACTTCTGAACAATTGTTATTAAATATCCAGACTGTAGATATAATTACCCCCAAGCACTAAGTTTGCAGGTACCCATTTATACACCTGGGTAGAGAGAGGTACTGTGAGAGTAAAGTGTCTTGCCCAAGTATGTAACACAATGTCCCCAGCAGAGTAAATAAATTAAAAAAAAAAAGAACAATGTCCCAGCGGCCAGGGCTTGAACCCGGACCGCTCGATCTGGAGACGAGGACACTAACCATGAGGCCACCGTGTCTCCCATGGACTAGCATCCCATCCAGGGGGTAGTAGAAATACTCCTAGTTGCTTCATGCTACAGAAACAGGGATAAGCTCCGGCCTGATGGGCAACTTGGCTTGTATACAGACTTAACCCTTTTACCTTTTCAGTAGCATGACATGTAAACTATGAAACTTTGAATTCTCTGACTTCTTGATGTAAGTTTTTCTCGCTCTAGAATTCAAACACAACATAAGTAATCACCCATTAGTTTGTCCCTGATCTGCATAATACAGATTATCACTGGCACTGTCTGGAGCAATGTGTTGCTCCTCGTTAGACTGGTCGTAGCTGCTGACACTGTTGTTTACTGGCACTTGCTGGGAAAGTTCCTCTTCACCTTCAGAATCTACAAAAGAAAGGTTAAAAAAAGTATAAGCCAGTTTTCTCAAGCCAAAACAAAGGTGCAAGAAATTAAATAAAGTGTTGCAAAAGTATGCACAAGAGCCTTGATGTGCTTTCCTCTGTTACAGTACTCAAGAGGTGACAGAAGCAATCAAGTTAAATGGAGAAAAATATGTGAATATGTGGCTAAATGTACTGCTTTTGTCTATGCTTCTCTTGTTCTTTCATAACTACCTTGTATATGCTTTGTGATTAAACAAAAGGTAGTAATAATAAATTTATTATAAACTGATGGCATTTCCTTACCAACAGTCCCATCAGCTGGCTCGTCACTTGTCTCCTCTGAAAACACTTCATCTTGATAACGGAATATGTCATTATGAACGTAATACTTTCTTGGACCCTAATTAACAAGAATATCGCATTAATAAACTTAGCACTGGTAGCAGCTTACAATGTAACAATAACTGGAACCATGGTTCACACACCCTTGGTAAATTGCGGTCATTGAAATTGAAAGTCAACAGAGATTAGTAACTACCTCGCCAGGAGCCAAGACAAAGGTCTGCATAAACCTCCTCATGGGCTGTCCATTATTGGATAGTTCACCAGACACCTGAAACAAAAGGAACCAGACAAAAATATAGAATTTTCTTCTTACAAAACCCTTTTGATCTTAGGACAGCTGAAATTATGAATTAGAAGAATCACAAAAGTTTTTGGATGAGATGTACATTGTAGACCTGTTGCAAAATGTTTAACAACTGTCCTGACACAACAAAATTTAGCTTACTGGCCCGGGTTGTTCAAAAGGTGAATAAGGCTATTGCCAGGTGGATAAATCACTATCCACTGTAGTGGAAAGCATGGTAAGTTCTGTCCACACTTATCTGCAGGATAGAGTTTTATTCCATGGATAACTTTATCCATCTTTCAAACAACTCGAGCCTGATACAATTGCACTTATCAACTTATTAACTATTGAGCTTGGGAAAAATTCAGTTAGCTTTGTTACCATACTTTTTCCCTAGAGATCTGTAACGAGACTACAGAATATTTTGAATTCATTCTTTTGACACATCAGAATCCAGATTCAGTGTGAATTCTATTTACATAGACATGTACTGTATGTATTTACCTGCACTACCACTCCTCCACCAACAGTGGAGTGACTGTCTACTTGTCTGATCTTCGTGTGGCAGTCATGAAAATTGAGTTCTTTGATCTTGGTGTAGATTGCCTGTGGGGAAAATACTCACTGTAAACAGACGGTTCACTCAAAGAACATACAGAATGTAGAAGGTTACAAGTACCAGGTAAAGTTCAGGAGTTTCATGCCCCAGGTGTATTGAGAATTAACATTTATAATAATTTGTCACTAAAAACTTTCACTTTCTTTTGAGAACTAAGTATTTATGTTTTTCTATTTCAATTCAAAGGCCTTAGCTGTTTTTGCCTCCAGTTAAGGCCTTTACTGTCACTTGCATCTAAGCGTGAACACGTGATGCCGAAACATGCTCTAATTGGATGTCAAACGTGGCATGATTCGTTATCAAACATTTAGAGTTTATCCGACCATAATGCAAAAATGTTCACTCAAAACTTTTCACTTTGAAAACTCAAAATGTTCACCATCAACAAATACTATAAAAGTACTAGAAGTAAAACCAATTTTCGTGAAAGGCGTATGCATATTGACACAGGTTAGGGTCAATTTCTCTGAAGAAGTCTTCAATGTCTGATCTTTCTGCCATTTCGTGTGCTGAACATTTAGCGCGAAAAGTTCGTGTTACGGTCTGCTAAACTTCAAATGTTTGATGACCAATCATGCCATGTTTGACACCCAATTAGGGCATGTTTCTACTGCAACTTTTGACAAGGGTAAAAAAAGCTTTCATATTAATCTGGTGTCATCGTAAGGTTCATTAGGGTTCTTGGCCTTAGAGTGAAAACTAACGTCAGCACTTACTAAAACACAGTCTGTGAAATACAAGTCAAGATATCAGTTAGTTATCTTCTTATCAGTATGGCCCAGCTTTGATTGTAACCCCAAATGGGAAGAAAGGTAATGGTAGGGTGCCAGAGTGTTGTTTTTGTAACATCTAAGAAACTAGAAGTATTTCTACTCCCCCCTGAATGGGATGTCTGTCCATCACAGGGTTTATTCTCCACCCCTCTACACTGAAATTTGCTAGTACCATCTATACATCTGGGTGGAGAGAGGCACTGAGAGAGTAAAGTGTCTTGGTCAACAACATGATGCAATAACCTTGGTCATAGTATCACGACATACAGTTTTCTTGTTTCTTGCTGAGCTCCAATGTTTACTCCACTGTACTTGTAATGTACACTGGGTGTGCTTATAAAACATTACTTTCCTCCCTCTTCAAAATCGCCTTAAAAAATGCCAGGGGCAGCTTACAAAAACCAATTACAAAATAGCCCAAAGAAAATATGTGCACTGATTGGTTTAAAATGGTGTTTCTTTAACTCGATAGAGAAACAGAACTAGCATGAGTTGTTGAAGTAATGATGGTGCGAGCAAAGAGAATTTATATTCTGATGATCAAAGTAAACCAGTTGTTTTCTTTTTTCATTGCAAAATTTTCTTAATGAAACAAAAACACATGTTCTCTGTGTTTCTATTGAGGAATAGGGCGCGATCCATTCAACCAAGATTTGTGGAAATTTTGGTTTAAAACTGAATGGATTGGGTCGCTCCAACGAGAAAAGTTTCAAAAAAATTGGTCCACCCTGAGGTGGATCACTTTTCTTGGTTGGACTGGTCTGATTGAAATGGACCGTTCCATTTGACCATTCTGACCCATTCTAAATCCCAGTACCTCGATGGTCTGTATTTTCCATGTACAACAGGGGGGGAAACACTTATCAGTGCAGCTTTTATGGATTGTTAACAGCGGATCTATCGGTGTTACTCATACATCCATGTGCAGTTACAACAGGTCTGTAGCTACTTTGCAAGCCAAGTGTAGGTTTTGGCTGTTAACCGCTCTTAAAGACAACTTACATGTATTTCCTGAGAGAATTTGGAACATTCTTTTCGTCATTCAAAACTGATGTTTGAACTCATATGGCAAATATCTGGGAACAGTCTGCCCAAATAACCCATTATACTGGTTAAATTACTACACATGAAACAGCTCACACTATCATTGATTAATGATATCACCATCAAAATCGTCATCTAGCTCTAATACGAGTAACAGTGATCCAGCATCCTCCATTTTAAATGAGTTTTGTGAGTGGAATGGAATGAGGACCGTTCAGACCCATTGCGATCCATTTGACACCAAGAAATTTTCGAACCTCAGCCTGGAAATTTTTACTGAACGCCCATGGAAACACTCATGGACGTCTAGGAGAACTCTCAAAACTGTGGAAACACTCGCCTGTCGGCTCATTCCTTCAGCACTTCTCATTCTCCCAAACTTCCACTTGTGTTGCTATAACTCGATAGGAACACAGCACATGTCTTCTATTTCTTAACTACATTTTGCAGCGTGGGAAATCTTCTTACCTCTTGACCAATCACAGGGGGTTCAGTAGGGCCATTCTCTGCCCTNGTAATGATGGTGCGAGCAAAGAGAATTTATATTCTGATGATCAAAGTAAACCAGTTGTTTTCTTTTTTCATTGCAAAATTTTCTTAATGAAACAAAAACACATGTTCTCTGTGTTTCTATTGAGGAATAGGGCGCGATCCATTCAACCAAGATTTGTGGAAATTTTGGTTTAAAACTGAATGGATTGGGTCGCTCCAACGAGAAAAGTTTCAAAAAAATTGGTCCACCCTGAGGTGGATCACTTTTCTTGGTTGGACTGGTCTGATTGAAATGGACCGTTCCATTTGACCATTCTGACCCATTCTAAATCCCAGTACCTCGATGGTCTGTATTTTCCATGTACAACAGGGGGGGAAACACTTATCAGTGCAGCTTTTATGGATTGTTAACAGCGGATCTATCGGTGTTACTCATACATCCATGTGCAGTTACAACAGGTCTGTAGCTACTTTGCAAGCCAAGTGTAGGTTTTGGCTGTTAACCGCTCTTAAAGACAACTTACATGTATTTCCTGAGAGAATTTGGAACATTCTTTTCGTCATTCAAAACTGATGTTTGAACTCATATGGCAAATATCTGGGAACAGTCTGCCCAAATAACCCATTATACTGGTTAAATTACTACACATGAAACAGCTCACACTATCATTGATTAATGATATCACCATCAAAATCGTCATCTAGCTCTAATACGAGTAACAGTGATCCAGCATCCTCCATTTTAAATGAGTTTTGTGAGTGGAATGGAATGAGACCGTTCAGACCCATTGCGATCCATTTGACACCAAGAAATTTTCGAACCTCAACCTGGGAATTTTTACTGAACGCCCATGGAAACACTCATGGATGTCCAGGAGAACTCTCAAAACTGTGGAAACACTTGCCTGTCGGCTCATTCCCTCAGCACTTCTCATTCTCCCAAATTTCCACTTGTGTTGCTATAACTCGATAGGAACACAGCACATGCCTTCTATTTCTTAACTACATTTTGCAGCGTGGGAAATCTTCTTACCTCTTGACCAATCACAGGGGGTTCAGTAGGGCCATTCTCTGCCCTCCCATGGAGAAACCAGGATTGTTTTGTGTAAAACCTGCAAATAACCAAGAATATCAGTTGATACAGCTGTCATAACAACAACAACAGCTGTACATGCAGCTCTACATCTGTTGTTGCCAAGCAAAGGAGAAAAAACAAAAACATTTCTAAACCTAGGATCTTCAGTGCACTGGTCAGATACTACCACAAGGTTTTTTGTGTGGGATACCTGTGCAGTGCTGGAAATAANATAACAATCAAGCAGGAATTTTACTCAGATAAGGACTCAATGCTTTAAGTCTGTAAAGAAAAAATTTCCAAGACTCTTTTGGCTGCTAATTTTGTATACGTAGCTAATGTAATGTCTGTGAAGGATTCATGTATTTCAAGAGACAAAATCGGTAGGCATACATGACGTACTCAATGCTCAAGGGTTTGCAATGCATTATAGGACGATTTCAAACACGAGCAGCCATTTGCAAGTTTTCTGATGTGAGGGAATCCTTTACAGCAAAGCAAACAGATAGATTGCTTTCTTTTCTTATGTTGAATGTTGAATTCTTTTATTATGTTGAATGTTATAGAAGCAAAGGTCTTTCACTATGTAGTTCTGGAAGGACATAATGTCTGAGAAAATAACCATTATTGATCCTCAACACAGAGAAATGTAGTCGCCATTATGGTAGCCTTTGAATGCAGACGTATTTTCGGCTGTTGACCAGAATTTTTGGCCGCCAAAGATAAAAATTTCAGCCGCAGTAGCAACCATACTGGTTGCAATATCAAGCCTTTTAACAATGTATCTAACCAAATTTTATGGATGGACAATAACTTGGTGTTTATAAAATGTTCGGACATCGTGTCCGATCATACTGTGAAATTGGCCGGCCATATTCAAAATTTGGTTGGACAATGTGCGATGACCGACTCTTATTCCAGCCCTGCTGTGGTATCCCACACTGTTGTCATTGGCTCATGTCCATTAATGCAAATGAGGTATTTCACACACATACCCTTTGGGTACCAATTTTTCTTAAAGTAAAGACCTCCCACAAGTACATGAAGTGGGCCCCTGAAAGTAGGGATAGAATTTCAAGGAAGGAGCAACCTCAAATATGATGTAACTTGTTATTTCCATTGCCTCCCATAACCACTGATACAAAATGATTTAGATGATCCTTTATACAAACACTGTATATATGTACATGTAATTATGTTTAACATTTTAGATTATGAGCTGGAGATTTCAAATGAGTGATACTTTAACGAAGGTGCAGCCCAAATCAACTATCATGCATAGAAATTGACAGCACATAATCTAATTATTGTTTTTAATTAACACAAGTCTACTAGTCATTCAAAACTTAAACTAAATCCTCTTCACAGACACTTCAAAAGGGCTAATTGAAGAGTAATCCCACCATGCTAAATAAGCGCAACAACATCCACCATATGTTTGTACATTTAGGTAGCTGTTAGTTGTACAGCCAGTGTCTAACACCCCTTAAAGTAACTAAAGCAAAAACTTACTTGGACGCAAAATGGCTTTCAAATTTGAGACCAGCCATTTATAATCATTGCAATGCTCCTCAAAAAATATATTTCATCACCCTCTCCTTCAAAAAATCTCACTAAAAGGACCTTATACACCCTTGTGCAATTACTATTATAACAATAATATTATTATTATACCTGTGAATCTGTACAGGTTCTTGATTCAGGAGGGTGTAATACTGCCGGACAAATTCTCGTCCAACACATTGAGGGGATGGCACCGTCACCATCTCTTACTGAAATGAAAGAAATAAAAACAACAACTTTAAAACTGAGTCAGAATAAATGGCAAGCCAAGTTCAAGGCTACACATAAGTTAAAAGAACTATAAAACTCATACAGTATACAACATGATTAAGGTAATAACTAACAAATACAGAGCATACTGATCTGTAAATTGGTATGAAATGGGTATCAAAAATCCATGTTGCCTATGAACTGAATACGTCCCCCTCTTTTTTTTTCTTCAATTGATACATGTACTAGCAAACACAGTAGCCAAGTTCTTTGCATCAGTAGTTCTTATCCCATGTTTTTAGGGTGCATTTCTTTGGAAAAATACATGATTGGATTCTTGACTGGAAAAATCGGATTTCGACTTACTTTGCTACAAAGATGAATCCAAGATCACTTGGATCAATATGTGCAAGGATTCTTCCATTCCTTTGATGCACCATGATCTGGGTGATCTTGGATTAATCTGTTAAGTAAAGAAACACAAAATCCATTTATGGATTTAAGAATCCAATCTTGTGTTTTTTTTAATGAAAAGCACCCTTGTACATCAATTACATTACAAGTTTTGGCTAACAGTTGTTGTTCTTTCATTCGTTTTTTAATAAAAAACTGAGACAAAAACATTATCATCCACACATGTCAATAAAAGCTAAAGGTTCATTTGGAACCAAAATTCAATGCAAACAATACGGTAGTCTGAAAATGATCCTTGCAGTCTGTTGGAACAATATTGCATGTAGTGTAGTAGCAAAACCATTCCTTTAGTTTGCAGATATTCTAATATGGAAGATTTACCTCAAATGCACAACTAAGAGATGTGGAATACATATATTTTGCCCATCGATTTTAGAGATGTATCAACTAAATGATATTATCTGCTCTTCAATTGACCAGGTGTCAAGAGACTCATAACTGGACAGCTGATAATAACCTTGCACTTCAAGGTTTTCTCTCATTTTACCTCACACAATTAGATTCAATTTGATGTTATTGCTTGAAGTCAAATTCATAATAAATGAGAATCAACACTAAACTAAAAACACACTACACTTTGTCAGCTAACATAGCAGATATTTCTTTAACTTTATGACTGTTTCAGCAAGATGATAGGAAAATATTGTTAAAAAATCGGCGTAATTATCGATGAAAAACATCTTCAATGTCCTGTAACCTTTTCTTGTTGCTAATGGATACCAGCTGTCTTGTTCGCTGCACATTCGAAAAAAAGAGCTTTCGTCTTTTAGTGCTACAACTAGGATAATATCTAATTTCGAGCCTCTTGTATAAACACGGCTTAGATGAATGCACCGGTCAAAATGTAAGCTTACAAGGAATTTTGTCCATAAATTGCCCATAGCGAAACACCCAATTTCGCACAAAATGAGCACTTTATCAATTATTTTCCAGCATGAAATGATTTTTTTCAAGCGTGAAATGAAATAATATATGGAGCCAAGGATAACAACCGGCAGTTTGAGATTTTTAAGAGAAAAAAACTGAAGTTACGAACCAAATCGACAGCATTTAGGGGACTCAAAACCTCGTCCCAACAAGGAAATTAAAAGTTTCTATGCGAAGGGATCGACGAGTATATTTAAAAACGTGGCAGAGAAAGCAAAGTGACTAATAAATGTCCCTTTTCAGCAGTAACTGTAATAATCAGAACAGAATTGAAAGACCCTGCCCTGACTAACGAATGGCGCGGTTCACACACCACGCGTCGCTACACTACATGAAAGCTTCTTGCAAATTAGGTCATTAAAACACACTTGCCTTTGCAAATCCCTGTAATCAGAAAAATATACTTTTATCTGGCATCTCTCTTTCCAAATGACCAAATCGCAAGGCTATTCCATGGGGCAAACGGGCGATTTTCCTCTTCTTTCGAACCAAATTTTCATGCTCCTCCAACAAAAATCACATGCTCGCAGTCACTGCGCAACTAGGTCCAGTCTCCCCTGATCGCCTCAAAATTCAAAGTGAGGCTAAAGCCTCGGTTCGGTATCTTTTTACCATTGTGAAACGGGTTGTGAGTTGAGCTGAGCTGGGCCAGGTTGGTAGAAAGACTGACTGAAGGCAACACTCGTTGGCCTCTGATCTTGGGAGGGGGATCGAGGGGGTATGTGCTCAACCTCTGGTTCCACACGTTCCTTCCCGTTACCAATGAAAATTATTTGTGATGACAAGAAATCCATCAATCTATGGGTGGGAATACTCTACACCTCCCACTTGAGTGACATATCTGCCAGTAAGAAAAAAATCAACCTTGTTCCCAGGGTCTTTTGCCTGGCTTGGCTTAAGCGTGCCCCAAAGCAAGGGTAAAGGCCTTGGGAACGAGGCTGGAGAAAAATGGACAAAAATAATAAACAGATTTCGCCAAGCTTAAAAGCGGCGCCCTGGTGGCGATAAGTCAGCCATAAAGGGAAAAAAATTATTCGTTTTCCACCCAGTGACTGGGCAGCGGTCAATTTCAAACACACACGCGACCTCGATGAGCTCTAAGCCTGGTCCCGCGATATGGTCACGTGACACTGGTCAGTGGATACCTTGTTTTGACAGCTGTCAATTGTTCATAGCATGGATGTTCAATATCAAAGATGTACCTATGGTAATGGTGCTACTCTTTTATTTCTTCAGGTTTGGGGCTCAGCTCGCGCTTGTGCAGTGCAAGTGGCGTACGGATAAACGTACGTACAGTCACGTGACGACCAAACTTTTTTTAGATCAATGGGTTACCAATGGGGCTCCCCTCAAGCGCTTTCGGTGTGCAGGAGCTCCGTTATGAAAAAAGTAAAGAGAATTCTGTTCCTGATCTAATAGCCATGCATTTTCTGATAATGCGGAAAATTCGTTACAGCAGAAACAGTCCCCTGTAGTTGATTTCATTTCTTCACTTGAAAAAGCAGAGCAATCACAATAAGAGACAAATGCTTCTCACACTTCAGAAAATTGGACATTAGGGCTTCTCAATTGATAGCAACATAAATTTATTTATTAAGAAAAATCAATGGTTATTATCTCCTAGGATCATTCCGATACACTATGATGGAAACTAGTAATTCCCTGTGAAGATCCTGCTCCCAGGCATGCATTTTTCTGGAGCAAACAAGGAAAAAGAAAGTGAAAAACAAAAAACAAAATAAGTCTGGAGGTCAGCATAACAAGGACTGCAGCAGATAGTGTCAGATGACAGAAAATGAGACTCAATGGCCCATCAAGATGAATGCAAAGAACTGTAGATGCCCTATGCTACAAAGAGGACTGAGGGGGTTTACCAACAAATAAGAAGTATAAAATCCCATAATCCTTTGGGCATGAAATGTTATCATATTAAATGGGGTGGACATAAGATAATGACAGACAAATCATTACTGCATCCCAGAACAAGTAACTGTAAGAATAAGTTGGCTGTTAATGACTGGCTGGATGCGAGGAAGGATCACACTGTACTTTATGATTAAATTTTCAGCTTGATGGCAATAAGTCGAAGAGGTCACAAACGATGAAAAGAACATGCTCATTCAATATGCTTTGTTTATATCCTCTAGACCTCACTGAAGGCCTGAAGAACAAGGCCCAGAAAGTCTTTGTTGCATGTACCTTGCATCTCATGTTGCCTCATTTGAACCATGTTGTGTTTTCTAAAATGACTTGCCTGGCTGACGAGTTTAGAAAAACCTAATGTGAAACTCTGCTTTCAACATTTTCTACACTCTCCATGTAAATATTAATCACTCATTCTATGTGTTTTCCTACGTATTGTTAGTGTCACATCAATTAACTAAGAGATTTACATGTAACTTTTCAATCTTGGAAACACAATGGAAAACAAGACAGCTTTTTATTTTCCAGCAGGTCTACAGAAGACACTCAAGGCAATTTCTCACAAAAACTGCATTATCTTTACATGGGTGAACTAACCTATAGCACAATAATTTTAAATAATCACACCCACAACTGAAAAAAACCCAAGACAAGACAGGAACCACAAAGAACCAAGGTGTGTCTTGTTACTAAATTTAACATGTCAACAGCATTGTAAATGTACAATATATGCAATGAACTGATGTTTCACAAATTTACGCACAATAACACAAACTGCTTTCAGAATAATTTCTCGCTTGCAAATAACTGGAATATTAACCAAGTACTTGGGATTATTGACATAGTTATTGAAAGCCTTAAACTTGAAAAAAAATCAAATAAAACATTCACATTTTCACACCATGTACAATCACCCATCCACAAAAAATCACCATCTTACTGTTGCAAACTTCACAAATGCAAAAAAGTTGCACACTTTAATATTCAAACTAGGAAAAAGAAGAGACACTATTTTTAAAAACATCATGTGGCTGCTCTGCGATGATACTCTGGTGTTGCAGTCTCGTAGTCAGTTGTAAACAAGCTATCTGCATTCTTAGACAGATAATCTAAAAAGTCTTGAATGTGCGTCACCACAAATTGCACACTCTTCTCGTCCAAACTTGAGAATGACAGAGCATTGCCTAGTTTTACAAAAAGTCTCAGCAAATGTTCTGCTCCATATAAATGAGACATAGGAAGGTTTGTGTGTTCAGATAGCACGTCGCCGTACTGAGTCCTTTCAAACTTGTAAAGTAACTGTGTTCCTAACATAACATTAAAATATTCTTGAATACCATTTGCTACTTCTTGGACAACTCCAGGTTTCAACCCATCATCAGGATTAGCAGTTCGTGATTTTATATACTCGTCCAGAATCTCTTTTACATTCTTTTTCCTCGGAACAGGAACAAGTTGTTTTTGGCGTGTGACAAGATCCCAATCATCTATGAGCCAATGTTTGAGATCATCTGGAATAGTTATTTTGACATCAACACGTGATGTGAAGTTCTCATCACTTTCTATAGGATTAGCTATTCTGGATCTCTTTTTCCTAACCGGACCAGGAGTCTCCACCACTGGTTCCCGTTTTAACGGTTTGTCATTTTCCCCTACTGCTTTATCAGTACGCTTTCTTGATTTCTTGCTTTTCCTGCAACAAGAAACAAATAAACTTCTCTTAAATCATTATCATAAAGAAAAACAATGACAAAATTAATCTTATTCAATACTATAACAATAAAATGCATTTCCCCACCTTTTCAATTTATCTTTTTGAGAACAGAGTAACATTTGAGAGTAACATTTAAACTTTATTTTCTATACAGTGCAAGGAGGTTAAAGGACAGCTATAATAACCAAATAAAATAGTATTTTTGAAAAGACAGATGAGATTATGCGAGTAGTGAAACAAGAGTAAAGATAAAAAAAAGAATAAGCATTTTGTATTATGAATGCTGAACTACTCTCGGTAAACAGTCAACTTTCTGATGATTCACTGGTACTAAATAATATATATTATATATCACAAAACTTACAATACTAACCAATCATAAATAATGTTAGTATTGTAAGTTTTGTTATTATCGTTAAATTGTAAGTTACGTTGACATTGTAAGTAGTAGGTAATTTTTGTATGTAATGTAATGTAAGATATTGCGATGAAAAAAAAAAATATATATATATATATCATTACAATACATTAGATAGAGGAACAATGAAAATAAAAGTTTTTTCTTTATGACCCTGGCCAGAATTCAACCTTACAATAAAGCTGTGCTTTATTTTTGAAGCTTGCTCATACAGATTTAATTTCTTGTTTACCAGGTAATGTACAGCTTTGCCCACATGCCTTATACCACAATGATATAGGAAGTCCTGAGGTACAGCTGAACAATAAACATCATTCTGAATGAAAACAAGCATGGACATTTGCCTGTATACATTATCTGTTTTGAGAAGCTTGGATGCTCCAGGAAAACTGTTTTCTCCTCAGAATAAATGATTCCCAACAAAAAAATCTGCGCACATTTTGGCAACAAAGGCGCATTATCCTTAAAATATTTTCAAAGATTGTTTTGGGGTGACCTCTTTCCCAAGCTGTTAAATGCCAAAATATTTTTCTGTTGGCATTTAAAAATGTTGCTTGCCTGTTTAAAATATTCAGCACTGTTCAATTTTTACAACCATTTATTACATAACTTAAAATGACACGGAATGTGGGGACAAAGAAATAATGCAAATTTCAAAAAGTGGGGAATGTAAGTTAGTTGACATCATCAATATTTCCCAGTTTTGCCTGTATCACATAATGTGTTTTGATCAACCATGTGTCAGGAGACATAACAATTATTATCATTGAAAAAAGAAGTACAAGTACAAACATCCAGTGACATTATATTGGTATTCTAGGAAACTGGTCAAACTGGTTGAACAGGCTGGCTGTAGTCCCTAATAGTTCTCCTGACTGTAATTTAATTCAAAACACAGTTCAAAGTCTGGTTTTCACGACAGAGAAACTGCAAATAATTAATTCCTTACCAGACATTTTAGTGCATACTGCTGTTGCACATTTTTACTTGCCAGTTACACTTTACATTGCTCTGTAAGTTTGCTAATTACAAGTAGGCTATGTTACTACACACTTACAAGATTACATAATCTTTGTTGTTCATGTTTATGAATGCACTTTGAAATCTTACAGCTCCTCATATATATTTTGTTCATAAAAGTGGAGGTACGTGTAAAAAGAACCTGAGATTTGCATAAAAAAGAATTCATAATCATCCTGAAACTTTCTTTAGTTCTGAATGTAATATTGTCAGCAATGCTTTTGTCACATTTGTAAAAAAAATTGTATCCTGTATGAGCGATATGATTCATGCATAGCATTTTGGTGAACTGATAAAATCTTTTTTCAAGATGCAAACTTGCTAAACATCCACGCTTCATGTTACTGTGGTTAAAGGAAAAGTTGGTGCAAAGTTTCTAGTAGAAGAATCATTTTGTTATCATGCAATAATTCACACTGTTGTATTGCTTCCATTGACATGGCTGTGAGATGCAACAACCCAGATGGAACAAAAGTAATTAAAATGGATCAGTATTACTTGTGAAGCTTCAGAAGTATAGAACTCAATATATGTCAGCTTAGATTATCTTTGGACCTTGGACTACAACCAAGCTGTTCATCTTCAAAAACTGTCTTGAACATTACTATGTCATTACTATAAAAAAACCCTGGCTTCCTTGACAATATTTACTTTCTAATACCTGCTAACAGCACAATTTGTCCTACTGTGACTCAAATTTAAGAAACAGTATTTCTTGTAGTTGCAGCAAAAATGTTATTGCTTCAAGTATATGTAAGCTTTAGCTTCAGCTCAAGAACTCAACTTATAAAAATTATAAGTTTGTGTTACTTTAAAACGTGTCCAAAACAAATTAAATTGAATATTTACGATCGAATCATGCAATGTCATATCTGGACTTTACTTTCTGCAGCTTTCTACTAAGCAAAGTGCGATGGTCAACAGCGATCATTTGCTTTGAATAAGCCGAACATCACTAGAAACAGAAAGGGTAGTTCGACAAGGTCAAACATATATTGCCTAAAGCACGTGGTCTCAACTAGCTCGAACTTTAAAGTTCTTGGCAAGCTTCGATCGGATTAAACTTGAAAAGCCTCTCAGACTGGAAATTTTCAAAGAAAAAAAGCGATACATACAAGTTTTGTTCTCTAAGCTCTCTCTGTTTCTGTAGATTAGCCTCGTTGAATTTAAGCACCCTGTTTTCCGGAACCCATTCGTCCCAGTTTTTGTTCCAGCCGTTGTAATGAATGAGATATCTTGTGACTTTGTCCTTCATCTGTCCTTTCATACACTTTGCTTCGTAGATCAGAGGACCGTGGTAACACAGAATACGTTCACCTTCACCAAATTTCAACTTGGGAGGCATTTTTAGAGCGAATTTGCTGACACACAACTCAAATCCCAACACAGTTCGAGAGCGAACTGAATATGCCGATTTGTCGAAGGCGAAAAACGTGGTACAATCGTCGAGGATTAATGTATCGCGATGTCTGATTGGTGAAAAGGAATAGAAGCTTCTTTAAAATTGACCAATCAACATTAGTCTTATTTAAGCTAAAGTTTTTCCCGCCATTCAATTCGCACTGCCCGAACGAACTTCCGGCAAATGGAGGTTAATGGCGGTCTTCCGTTTGTGGACTTTCTACAGAGTATTTTTGGGGTTATGTTTTGCGTTAGCGGTCCTTCAGTTATTTACAGAGTTTCTCTTTGGCTTCGAAAATGACGAAGCTCGCAATGAGGACAGTCTTGTGGCTGTCGACGATATTCAATGGACGGAAAACGACGAGAGAATCAAGAAAGGGGATGATAAAATATTTAATTTCCTGGAAGTGGACGAAAATTGGAAAGAACGGTATTCCGAAGGTGGGAGAAGCGTCGTGACTTAAGGATGTATTCAGGCTTATAGTGTTGCAGATCACAAAACTCAAAGTGATTCGATCTAGTCAAGGTATAAATGCTAAAATTCGGAGTTCCCCCTTCCCGGGAGGCTTTTTGTTTTGAAACCCTCTACCTCTCTGTAATTCTCTCTTGAGCTTCATAATCTTTAACCATTTTGGCATTTTAGACTCCCCCCGCCACTCAAGAGTATATGGATAATTTGAGGAATTGTACTTAAAAGAGACATTAAGAGAGACATTAGAGTGTCACACGTCTGAATGCGAGGCCTGCAGGCTCAAGGTTAGATTATAAGTCATATCCCTCTCCAATCATGTAGTGCTTTTCTGATTGCCTTTGATCATTCTTTCAGAAGAAATTTATTATGATGAAGTTGAACATGTCTTGAAGAATCTCCGAAAGCCTGCAGCATATGCTGCAAAGTACAAATTACCCATAATTCTTTGGTGGACTACATTTACCGGTGGAAATGACATCAAGAAGTGCAAACTTGGTGAATGCTATTTCACAGAGGCTCGCAAATTTCAGACCCATCCAAGGACTAAGGCTTTTATGTTCTATGGGACATCCTTTACAGCAAATGATTTGCCTCTTCCAAGACTTGGTAAGCTACTCAGATCATAATACAACATGTTTGTGACACAGCTAGATGGAAACAAGAGAGTTACCTTGTTACTGAGACCTGAGTTTATACAAAGGACTTAACTGAGAGTTGCAATCTCGAAAAAGAAATTTCCCTAGGACACGTAATTGAAAACTGCTCTATTGGTGGTGATTACTCATCTCAATCAATCCAATCAATCAATCAATCAGTCAGTCATTCATTCATTCAGTAAGTCAATCAATCAATCAATCAAGCAAGCAGTCAGTCAGTCAATCAATCAATCAATCAATCAGGCAATGATGATGTCAATACAAAGCAGAATTGACCCCTTTGCCTAATTGTGTGTTAAAGTACTGATAACTACAATAATAGTTAATAATTTGTTGGAAAATGTCCAGGCTCTCTCGGACCTATAGCTTGTGATAATTTTTCAATAAGTAATTAAAAGTGGTCTAATTATTTGTGTTTCCCCTATTGCTTTTCTATATTCAGGGCACCACGAGTGGGCATTGATCCATGAAGAATCACCCAAGAACAATCCCATTCTACATCATCAAACCACAATTGAACTCTTCAACCATACCGCTACATTCCGTAGGTCATCCGACTACCCTTTGGTCACTCAAATGCTTTCATCTTTAGCTGAATTACTGAAAAAGCCAAGATATGAAATCCATGAAAAGGGGACTAGTGGTCTTGCATCAGTAGTGTACGTGCAGAGTGGATGTAATCCACCCTCAGACAGAGATGAGTACATTGCTGAGTTAATGAAATATATAAAAGTTGACTCTTATGGGGCTTGCCTGCATAATAAAGATCTTCCTGAAGAATTCAAGAACCCTTTAACCATGGATGATAAAGGGTTCCATGATATCATTGCAAAATACAAGTTTACATTGTCTTTTGAGAATGCAATATGTGAAGATTACATAACGGAGAAGCTGTGGAGACCGCTTGTGTTGGGTTCTGTTCCCATTTACAAAGGATCGCCGACAGTTCAAGACTGGATGCCTAATAATCATTCTGTTATCCTTGTGGACGATTTTGAAAGCCCAAAGGTATTGGCTGATTTTATCAAAAAGCTGGATGAAAATGATGACGAATATGCTAAGTACTTAGAATTTAAAGATAAAGGTGTTACTAATGAGAGGCTGTTAAAGTTTATGAAAAATCGCCCATGGGGAACTTCATTTGAGGAACAAAACTTCGTGACAGGATTTGAGTGTCTTGTTTGTGACAGAATTCATGAAAATTTGAAGCGCAAGGCATCAGGACTTGTAGAAAATGAGTATGTTGCTTCTCAAGAACATTATGGCTGTCCAAGGCCAGATAATTACAATTTTCCTCATTCAACCAATGTTGATATTGAAGGAGAAAGAGAATTTTGGTGGCAAGAGTATGATCAAAGTGTTATAGAATCAAAGAAACTTAATCAGCATGTCTATTCAAACTGGTACTTTTAACTCCTTTTATTAACATCTTTGAAAATTTAATTTAAATGTTTGTAAATTTTAGTCACATTTCATTAATATATGCAATGTTAAAAGAATTTTACATAAGGGCTAGTCAAAGGGGGTAGTGTTGACTTACCTTTATAATTTTGCAAATATTTTGTATGAAAGTAAAACAAAAAACAATAAACTATGATAAATATTGTACATTGCTATCAATACGAAAGTTAGCAAAAGCTAGGAAAGGGGGGATATTGTTGGCATGTATGTACATGTACCATATGTTAAATTACTACCAAGGAATTGAACTTTGTAAAACATTTATTGGTAATTCTCTTCATTTGCATCCTTTTTTAAAGCCTTCCCAAGAAGTTTTGACCAAACCTTAGAAATGAGATGAGGTTCTAATTCAACCTCAAGTGTTTTAATTCATTGATAGTTCATGGGAGCGGAGAGATTCTTAACTGCTTATAATTATTATAGAAATGATTACCCTGACAATCTTGGTATTTTAATATTAATTTTAATTATGTAGATTTAGCCAAGCCTAAAAGTTAAAGCAGAGCTCCCGGGCTTGGGTGTTCAAAGCCCAATTAAACTAACCCAGAATATGTGAGAATTTTGATTTGAGTTCTGTAACTTTGTGGTGAGGTTTTCTTTTTGTATTGTTTGGTCTTCTGTTTTAAGTTTGAATAATCTTACATGTCACTAAACAGAAGCAGTGAGAAACATTTGTATACAAGAAAGAATTATACTTTGGTTAATCCTGGGTTAGCATTAATCAGCTTCTGTACAACCCAGCCCTGATTACAACAAGTTAACCTGACATGAGCCTGCGATCCGATCAAAAACCAGTACTTGACCAGCAGAACTTTAAAAAAAAACATGTGACCTCAATGAGCTCTAAACCTCAGTCCACAATATGGTAATGTGATACTGGTAAGCGGATACATCGTTTTGACAAGTGCCAACTGACCATAACGTGGATGTCCAATATCAAAGATGTACACACATAAACCAAGGCTGCATGACTTGGTATTAGCTGGCTGACCGCCATGTTGTGCAACATTGTTGTCATCGTTGTCATTTATTGCCCGCAATCCATGCAACTAGCCATGTTGACCATGAAAGAAAGAGTTGTATGGTTTTCTATTTCTATGCATACATGTGGCTCTGTTCTTATAGTTAATCATGGTGCTCCGCTATAATAATATTTAGTATTTTTACAATCAGTGTCATAGGCCTGCAATATGTGCTTCTTCGTGCATTGTGGACCCATATGATGACTCACTTGGCTTAACCCATTGACTCCCGTGCCACCCGTAACCACCCATGAGCATTGGCCTTTATCCTACTTCTGACGTTGTCATCTTTTACCAAAATTGGCATCATCTATACTGAAGTTCTGCAGGAGGAAAAGATCTTTCCAATGACACCCAGATCAGAGTGATTGGCTCAATGGAGCCTAAAATATGCACAAAAATGTTCAGAAATTTGAGTGAAAAACTCACAGCAAAATTTCCTGCGACAACACTTAGCTACTCCATGGTAAAAATGGCCTATCTCGATGATGATTTTTCAGCAATTTTTAAACTGGAATCAAGCAGAGTAAAAGGTCGATCACTGCAGCAAAAAGATAAGAAAAGGAGTAAAAGGAAAGGCGAAAAAAAAAAAAAAAGAAAATTAGAAGAAGCCTAAAGCTGTAGGTCAGTTTCTCGAAATTTTGATTTCGGCCCATGCCCATGCAAAAATGTTGCAAAACCCGATGGTAGTGGAAAGAACGGCATGCTGTCACGTTGGGAATGTCTTTTTGAATAGATTGGAGCTAATTTGGCCCATATCTCAGCTGAAAATCTCCAAAATGTCCAAAACATGCATTTTTGGCAGAAAGTTCTGGGAGTCAATGGGGGGCATAGGTCCTTAAGGAGGTCTCTCCATCCCTCTCTGTGTTGTGACTGCCAGCTGTTCCCTGGCCTCCCTCTCTTCAGCTTCCTATGATACTATCTTACAATGCTCAAATAGGAACAATGCAGCTGGCTTTTTGCACCCATTGCAGGCCTATATGATTGGTGAGCTCCATGAACCACGTGCACACAGGGCTATTTAGTTCTTATCTCTTCACATGCTTTGTAGTCTTATATGAACTAGCACTTGTGAGTTTAATGCAAAGATACTTTTAGAGTGCCATAAAGCTGTCAGTAGCTCTTCCCACATAATGCAGGTAGGTCTATAGAAAGTGATGCTAGCCAACAACATATTGCTGAGCTTCATAGGCATGTGATACATACAGAGCAATAAGTGTTCAACTAATTTTCCAGTATTATTTTTACAAAGAGCAAAGAAAGGTTTACTTTAGTAACTGATGGCAGGGAATAAAGAGAGCCACCAAAGTGTTCTTTGTTAAGACTTCTTTTTCTAAGTGGCATTGCAACAAGATAAACCAACTCTTCCACTTTGTATGCTCCGGCTAGCTTATCAGGATATCCATAGGTCAGGAAATGGTCAGGGAAAAGTCAGGAAATTTTATTTTGTGTCAGGGAAAATTGTAAAACAATTTCAAATTCTGAACGACTTTGGCAAGACTTGGATTAAAACATCAAGCTACACTTGTGCTGATTACTCAATGCATTTATAATAGAGGTATGACCTTCTTAATAACTAATCAGAATGGAATTCCTCTGGAGAGAATTTGGAACTCAGTTTGATAGAATGGCAAAATGTGGAATAAAATTATACTGAATTACACTTTGACATGAGTATAGCAAGACATTCTAGTCAACTGTCTACATTCAGTCGCACTACAGGTCAAACTTAACACAATTAAGTTCAACACGAACGTGCAACATAAAATCTTCAGTTGACTTCATTAAGACACTAGCATGTAAAGTTTGAACCAAGCCTAAGAGTATGCTTGAGTTTCTCCATACTCAGTTGGGTTGGTCTTGGGCTTATAGAATAGTGTTCATTATCATAAGTGAAAAATCAAGAGGTGGTATCAGCAAGGAAACCAATTGCCTTTTGCTTCTTTTGTAACACACATGAAGTCTAGCTTTATTTTTTATTTTATTTTTTTTAGTATAAGACAAGGAATGTAACAAGATGGCAACTGCTCACATCTAGTTTTACAGCTGTGTATATATGGCTAGCAAACATAGTAAAAAACAGAGCATACAATCACGTACATGTGCCTTGTTGAAGCAACATCATTGTTGAAGCAACATCAGTTAAAACTGATGCCTCTTTTGAAAGGGATCTTAATTACACAGTAACATTAATCACGAAAGTGTTGTTCTTTATGTACCAAAAAAGGTTACATGAGACTTAAAAAGTAAGTTTGAATTTTTGAGCTCTTTTAAACAAAGACAAGAATAAAAGTAATGTCAAAATATAAAATAGAAATAATAAATTACAGTTAAAAATCAAGTCGCATAAAATCTGCATGGAACATTAGGGATATAAATGTTTTCTTTGAGTAGTTCTGACTTCACCTACAAAAACTGATCCAGCACCATATTTAATTTAATAATATCTCAACTACCAGACTACCAGATGGGTTTTGAACCTGTACAAAACTTTGCTATACGTAGGTTATGCTTTGTTTCAAAAGTCTGCTACATACAGACTGGTTTTAGGATTGACTGAAACTGTTTAACACTTCTGAAAGTAAAGAAAAACCTCAAATGTAGAGAGGCAAAACTAAAATAAATACTCAGATTGCATTCAGGAAAAACTCTCAAAATTTCAGTTGGAATTAATTTGTAAATGCTAGGACTGTTTTGGTTTGCCCAAGCCAAATATGTTGAAAACATTGAAATGGAACATCTTTAAAGGTAGTCCAAAATTACCAATCATCGTAGATTCCAATTCATCCTTAATGTGCAACAATGCAGCATGCTTCTGGGTGCTCCAGGTAAATCCTGGTAAATGGAGCATGCCAAATCTCATACCAAAAATTTCCTGTCAGGAGGGAACCAAACAACTTCCCCTGGCACATAATTGGTAAACAATCTTGATTACTGTCTGCACAACAGACATTGAGTTCTAAACTGTAATAGCTAGAAATTATCTTCAATATTAAGCCAAAACTGGACTAGGAAATGAATATTTTATTGTCATTTCTTACCCTCTCACTCAAAGTTTACTTAAGTTGGTCCTACTTGACCATAACTTTGACTAAAATGTTGGAATCAATTCACAATCCCAGCTATACAATATTAAACCTCACCAGAACAACCCATTCAAATATAACACAATATAAGGGGACTGAGTGTTTTTTTGGTCTCAACCTCAAAATATAATTCTCTTCACTACTTGCATATGAAAATGTTTCGTTTAATCAATAATCACAAGTTAGATGTGAGAATTTGGAAGTACATTTAAAAAAAATACTTTTAGCTTGCTAAATACTGTAGTTGATAATTTTCTTTATTCTTGCAACTTTGCTGCTTGATAGTAAGATGCTAAATTTATGTTCAGATTGGGAAGCTGACATAATAAATGTGTGACATAATAAATGATTTGAATGAGCTCTAAAAAATGTGACCTTAAATAGGCTAATTAAGATGAAGATAAAACTCTTTCTACACCATTATACAATACAAGTGACAACAAGCATGCTCCACCGTTTTTAAGCTTCATCAACACTCTGCGAGTCATCATCACCATTATCATCCTCCTTATCAATTTCTGTTAATTCTTGGTCTTTATTGCCCTCCATTTCTTCGTCCTCTTTCTCACCCTCTTCCATATGTGAAGCCTCGACATCATTAGGTTTACTTACATGTGAATGTGAAGGAACGGTATCAGAGACTTGCTGCTGCACAAGTACTGTTACTGGTGTGGGTGATGGCTGTGAGAGACAACAAATGTTTAGAGAAGTGTCAAGTCAGAAGCTGTTATACAAACCTTATCTACATGTAGAAGTAACATGGCCATTTTCCTCCAGAAATGCATAATCTGTCTGGACAACTTAAGACAGTTTTACTCAATACATCTGGTTATGCCTTTACGCAAATGAATTATCTGCTTTTTTAGAAGTGCACTTTGAATGATAAACTAAGTGACAAACTTGGGTGAGACAGATAATCAGTCTGCATGTATAACAAGGGGCATATAGGACAAATTATACACCAGCAAGGTAAAGCAGGTGCAAAGCTGACGATAGAAGACTTGTACAATGTCGTCATTTGAATACAACTATCAGTCAGGAATTCACTAAATATTTGTCCTTCATTATTTAATTTTTTAAACCACAATGTTTTAAACTTGTAGTTAAATGACATCATCATGCAAATCACCTATCAGTATGTAACAAGACAAACTATCTTCTCCTGTGCACATGTACATGGCATGACAAACTGTCTCTCAAACATCTAGTTTCATTCCTCTCCTTCTCTACACAGATACAGCAACAACAAACACATAATTCTTGCAGGTTGCTGTTGACCTCAAAATGCACATAATGAGGTGCAAATTGTACTTATAAGTTTGACTCAGCCGACTGCCAAAGTGCTTGGAGCTATGGTACACTGTACACCACCACCTGTACTCCTCTCGGACCCTGTCATTTTCATCTTACCTGTGTCCTAGAGTATAAAGCTGTTTGTAACTGTTTCTCAAGCTGTAAAATCTTCACATCCTTTCTCAGGTTCTCTGTTTCCAATCTTTGAACTTGATGCTCTAGTCTGTAAAGTTCTCCTTCCTGGGAGAAAAGAGCAAAATGCAACTTAATGTACATGTAGGTTCACATAGTTTTCAAACTCACTGACTAGTTAGGGTTCAGAGAGCACAAGATCAAATGTTTGAATGAATACAGCGAATGCAAATATGGCGGACCGCTCAGTTGGCGCCTGGGACAAGTCGCATGCAAGCGAGGCTAGTCAGGCTTTGATGTTTTGTTTTGACAATGCTTCCCCAGAAAAGTCTTGCTTCGTTGTCGATCTGGTCTGTTTTCGTTTCGCCCTCCCTATACGTTGTTGTGTTCCTGAATGCCACCAGAAGGAATTGAAATCTTCCACAGCAGAGAAAGTGTTTTTTTTTTTTGTTTCCGTGTTCGCCTCTCAGGGAAAACAGACGAAGGTAAGTAGTTCATGATCACCGAAGGAACTGTTAAAGTTTGTTTGTTCAGGCTGGAAGATCTTAGAAAATGTTTAAGCGACCGCATTTAGCTCCAAGTCGTTCTCATTTGGCTCAAAGCATTCACTGGATACAATGTTGGGGGCAGTTGAAGTTCATTCGCTTGGTTATTACACCGTAGTATTTGTTTCGTCCGATTCCGTGTGAGTGGACGCGAAGTCAACTTCTTCCTTTGAGACAGAGGATGTTTTTCAACAGGAGCTTTTCTTTACTTTGGGGAAGGTACTGGCCATGTAAATCGTGTTGGAA